TTTTTTTTTTTTTTTTTCCTGCATGGAAACAAATTGCACAACCTGAGCCGCAGAACACTGCTTTTCTGGAAAATAATAATAATAATAAAACATGTTGTAGCATCTACCTACTTTATTCTCAGATGCTGGTTATCACCACGTATGTCATAGTATAGTTCTCAAGGACACCAAACGAGACAAGCGATACCTTATATTGCCTGTGTAATTCCCTCTCTTTGTGGCCAAGGGTTTTCTCATGTGGGAGCGTTCATGATCTTTTCCCTTTGATCATGTTTGTTGCACAACGAGGCTGATTACAGGAGGGATAACAGCCTGGGCTTTGTCAGGATGTGAGATATAATGCGCCTTCCTAGTGGTTACTATGCAAACACTTTTTCCTAGCTCCCACTGCGGCATGCGAGCTGCTTTGCAAACAATGAGGCACTTAAGTGACATGCTCTTGTTTACTTAAATAATTTTTACATCTGTTAAGGACATGTCCTGGGTCAGTTCTGCCTTGAAAGCCAGAATTTTTGCTTGCAAACTCTACCTGATTTACTTACAGCTTCATAGCAATGGGAGTGTGATATAACATGCAGTCTTACTGGAAGCCTTCACTGCAAGACCCACGGAGCACTGTGTATAACCTCCAAAGTTCTTATCTGGCCCCATTTTTCCAGCATTGCTACAGCACCACCACTGGAGCCGTAAAGAGGAGGCTAGGGAGAAAATGTGTCTAACACTTGTGCCTGTGGAGAGAATTAGGAAAATACTTGATGGCTGGGTTGCTTATCCCCTTCTGCTTCGTATAAAGGCACCGTGGCTGCAGCTGGGATAAAAGGGAAATTCCAAGGTATCCTTGACGCTGTTCCATTGCTCTTAGTAACACTGGAAAAGTTAGTGGAGCGCCGGGCTTTGATCAGTCCGAGGGCACTTGGGGAATGCCAGCAGCTGGTCTGCGTTACGCTCGCCCTGCTTGCGGCGGCAGACGGGAGCGACGCGCGGGGGTGAGCGCGCGCTCCTGCAGACCTTGCACCAGGTGCTGCATGGCGCTGGCGGTTGTGCAAACAGCTGTGGATCCTCTGCAGCTTCACAGCAACCCGGCTCCTGTTTGAGCTGCGGGAGCAGAGGAGCGTGGCTGTTGCGGATGCTGCACGAACAGGAGCTTGCAAACGGCAGCGGCCGTGCAGGAGGGCTTGCTGTCCCAGGCAGAGGAGAGCAAGCAAAGTCTTGCAATGTGAGAAGAGAAATTTGCTGTTTTTTTGAAGCTCTCTTCCCTACAAGATTTCTTTTTTTCCCATTTCAGTCCATTTTGGTCGTGGAACTCTGAGTTCCTTTAGTCACCTCCAGAGATTGCGACTGATTGGGCTGAAATGCCTTTTGCAGAATCAGAAGCTATAGGGAGAGGGAAAAAGAGGCTGTGCCTGCAAAAGTAATGCTTTCAGTTCCTCACCTGTGTCATTTAAGTAGATAGTGTGGACAGCCTGCCTCCTGAGCCTGTCGTCTTACTGGTACTGTCCTCATCCTTGAGTTCAACATCTAGAAAGGCAACTTCAGTCAGAAGACAGCTCATTTTTTGTCCAAGGGAGTTTACTGACGCTATCACTTTCTTCTAGCAACAATATCTCTCTCTCTGCTCCAGAGCTGTCTGTGCTATGGCATAGTGACAGCCCTGAAGCTGGTGAGCGACGTCTCTCCCAACTCCTGGCAAAGGTCAGTGGTTGCATGGTGGCCTCTGGATTCCTCGAATACCAACTGCTGTCATGTGGGGAGGCATTAATCCTTGGCCCTGAGTGAGAGCCCCACATATCTCACCTCATTTAGCCTGGTCTGCTATTTGATTCTGCCCAGTATAAGGCTCTTTCTTTTGGAATCCTGCAAAACTAAACCATCTCCTGATGATTTCCAGTGTGCTGTCCTCCACCTGCTGATGGCGGTGGGAAACGCTAGGTGCTCCAAATGATCCTGTGCAAGCAGCTCACTGTGTTAGTCTCTCATTTCAACTCAGGTGCTGAGGACAGAACAAGAAGTATCTTTGGACCTCAACATGTTGCAAAAGCTTGAGACTTCTCCTGCCTCCTTTAATGCAGAGCTTGGTCAGGGGCTCAGCTTACCTTGATACAATGCTCTTCTCTCAGCCACCATCCGTACTGGCATTGTACATAATCCAATGCAAGGTTTTCTTGGGTCCACCCTGCACACAAGGTCTTCTCATCTCACTTATAATGAACTGTCATTTTGCATCCTTGGTCTGAATAAACAGATGTTTTCTGTGTTGCCAGCTTTGGGAGTCGCACTGACATGCCTGAAAGAACGGGGAATTTCTTTTCCCTGCCTCCAGCAAGAAGCAGGCACATCTCACTGAGCTTTTGCACAGAAGAACACCTGGCAAATGGTGCCAGGATAAAATAGCAGGGAATAAACATCTGCAGTTTCCTCCTCTGCCTTGCACCATTCACAAGGTTGAAAGCAGCACTGGATTTGACAGGCAGCTTCCCAAGTGTCCAGCTGGGACTGATCAGAGCACTTCCAGCTTGGAGACTCTACTGTGAAGACTCTTCCTTTGAAGTACATCTCATTTGGGCCAGAGCCAAAGGCAGGGGAAGGAAATGGTTAGCTGGTAAAGAGAGTCCT